GGATTACATGCTAACATCTTACACGCTAGATGGTTCGCCCATGGCTCAAAAGGGGGCGCTGCCCTGACCATCGCTACTTCTAAACTATCGATAGGGTCCTCCTGGGATCGACTCCAACTAAGCAGACGAAAATTTTGTTTTAGAAATGTTCAAGCATTCCTATAGCAAGTGTGAATTGTTTTGGGAATAAAAAATATTTTCTCTACCGCCCTCAAATAATAAAAAAAATTTTGCTTTTTGGTAGTATTCTGACGTCAAAAACCCGGCTGCTTATATTAAATATAAATATTATTATTATTTAATTTTCAGAACCAAAGCCATAAATACACCTATTAATATTAAATCAAAAATAATAAATATATAAAATTCCAAACCAAAATTAATATCAGCGAAATCAAATATTCAGCCTTATGAGCTTTCAAGGCCCATATAGGAAGGTTAACGCGAAATTGAAAGTGAAAGCGAGAAGAGTGGGACCGAGAGCCCCAAGGGTATCAACCAAGTACAGGAAAAAGACATAGACATTATGAACGCAGCCAAAATATGATTCAGGCCGCATTGGCTCAACAGGAACAAAGGCTTAGAGCCGAGTTTCAAAATCAAATTAGTGCAGTTAACCAAATTATTTCCAACGTAAAGATAGTGAATTTTCTATTGAAATTTTGCTTCACGTTGTTATGGAAAAATATTTAAAGTACGATGTACTGATTTGCCGTGAAATTCTAGGTCAGGGCTTTGGCGTAACCATAGATGCCAATACGTTTGTTTTACACAAGATCAGCAGTTTCAATACACTGTCAAGCATTGTTGAGTTGAATATCATGGATACCGTGAATGGAGGTGTGAAATTGAGTCAGTCCGATCGAGTTGAACTTGCGGAAGTATTGAAGTCGCATGCACCAGCGTTTACAAAGGGTATACCTAATCGCCGAGTTACTACGGGTGAATTAGAAATCCGTCTGATTGATGCCAATAAAACGGTGATGACGCGTCTGTATAGATTGAGCGTTGAAAAAAAGTTAGTAGTGAGAGACAAGATACAGGAACTTAGCATCGAAAGTCATACGTTCAAGCTTTTCCCCTTTTGCAGTGATCGCTTGTGTATCGATTATCGAGAATTGAACGCTAATACCGTCTCAGATAAATACCCGTTGCCTCTAATATCGGACCAAATTGATAGACTGCGCGGCGCCAAGTATTACTCAAGTCTTGACATGGCGAGTGGTTTCTACCAGATGCAATTACATCCCGACTCGATTGAACGCACAGCATTTGTTATAACAGAATGCCAATACGAATTCGTGGCCATGCCCTTGGCTTGAAGAACGCATCCTCAGTGTTCCAGCGAGCCATAATGCGAGCCTTGGGTGAAGTTTGCAATTGTTTACATCGACGATGTTTTGATTGTTGCTAGTACAAAAGGCGAGACTTAAGGAGACTAATATATACAAATATTAAAAAGCGGTAAACCTCAGGGTACCTCATCACACTGACAAACACGCTACCATAGCATTTCAACTCAATTTTTGTGGTTTTCATTTATCATTTCCAAGTGAGTTAAATTTTTTCACATATGTACATAATTTGAAAACCTTAGTGTTCTCTGCTCAGTTAAATTCATGGACAAACGGGTATTGTGTTCACTGTGAAATTGTGAAAAAAAGAATTTTTATTCAATTTAAGTTGAACTGTGAAAATTATGTGGATCGTGCATTTGAGAATAAATTCACCACTCTGTCCATAGTCCAAAATGCTTAGAGGACGACGTGCAAACATTGGCCGCAGACATCCAAGCCAGCAACAAGTATATTCACAAAACTTAAGCGAAGAAAGACAATTGAGCACATGGAGATCATTGGCATCATTCAATCGCTTGGCATTCCAATATGATCCCACTGCGAACTACAGTGATAATAAAAATTTAGATATTGGACCAATGGCGACTATATACCGATATTGCAGTGCGTATAAGTTTAAAAGAGAAACGGCTGGATTGTGCTGCGCAAGTGGAAAAGTCAAACTGGAAAAGTGTTAAATCACCATCCTTCTATACTTCCATATATTTGAAAAATGTTGCAACATTGACTATTATGTTGTTAAATTGTGTTGACCAGCGAAGCGAACACAGGACCTCAGGAATATATAAAATTCCAAACCAAAATTAATTTCAGCCAAATCCAATATTCGGCCATTTAATATAAGTATATCATGTTGACAATAGAGTAGCCTTATGAGCTTTCAGGACCCATATAAAGAGTGTCGGGTCATCCAGCCGCAGCAGATATTTAGGATCTCTTAATGCTAGCTCTTAGCTTATCTGCATAATTACCATCGCTCTCGCTCTCTAATTATCTTTCTATTTGCTCTCTCTCGTTGCTTGTCGGCTTCTACTTTGGGTCAGCAATCGGCTGATCCGCGTCTCAATTTTTATTGTATTACCTCTTTTCGATCCCGCGGACCATTTGTAACTCTTTTTCGTCGAAAATAAAATCGCTGCTACAGAATTCGAAAACAGAATTTCTTCGTGCATAATTATTTCAACAGCTAATAAAAAAGCTTATTAGCTCAACATTTGGTGACCCCGACGTGATTTGTGCATAAAAGGGACTCAGTGCAAGTCACAAAAAAAATAATTTATTTTACCAGGCTGCATATTTTGTTTTATCTGTGTTGCAGCTACATTGTGCGTTTACCTGCCATAAACAACACAAATATTTATAAATTGATTTGTGAAAATAATAACACTCTTGGTTACACGAACTTGTACATAAGGCGATATATAGACCAGCAGCGGACCAATTTTTCGCATTCTCCTTTGCGCTCATCTTCCCGCTGAAGCCGAATTTTGCCCGCTGAGTCTGCTGCATATCTCACTTTATGTTTGTTACAAAACAATAAAATTAATTGATTTATGCAAATAATACCACTCCTGGTTACACAAGCTTTACATAAGGAGGTATATAGACCAGAAGCGGACCGATTTTCGCTGTTCCCCGTTACGCTTATCTTCCCGCTGAAGCCGAATTTTGCCCGCCGAATTTGCTGCATTTATTTTGTTGTTGTTGCTGCTTAACATGGCTTCAGAAAATTCGGTTAGCGTCACCGACAATCGCAATTCAAACAGGGTGACATTTTTTGAAGCGCAAGGCAACTTCAATGTTTAATAGAGTGGAGCGGTTAATGGAATCCCTTTCAAGTTCGGCTTTGAATTCTTTTGACGATTCTGGCCTTCATGTGAGGTTGGAACTTATCGAGGAGCTTCAAAGGGCGTTTAAAAAGGTTCTCAACGAGCTGGAAGAATTGGATTTTGAGGAAATTGGAAATGACTTGGAGGAGAGATTTGATGATGTCGTCGTAATTCTGAAGTCGACGGTTCGATCGGAGATCACAAAGCGCTCCTCGCAACTGCTTCAGCACTCAACCTTTGCTGATGGCAATACGCCCGGTCATTTCGGCCATCAGCAGCGGGAAGCTCTGCGCCGAGCGATTCCGCTTCCCGTTCTTGAACTTCCGAAATTCGCTGGAGGTTATGCGAATTGGTCAGATTTCTATTCTATGTTTACAACCATCATAGATAGTCATCCTGACCTGACCAACATTGAAAAGCTGCAACATCTACGCTCATGTCTAAGGGATTCTGCGTTGGAAACCATCCGCTCGCTGGAAATTTCGGATGGCAATTATTCTGTTGCTTTAGACTTACTGCAAAACAGATTTGATAACCGTCGTTTGGTTTTTCAGGCACACATTACTGAGATCCTGGGGCTTAAGGCAGTGCAGAGTGCTTCCGTCTCGATGCTTCGTGAGCTGTGCGACAAATTTAACGCTCATATTCGTGCTTTAAAGGGATTGGGCACGACAGAACAAATCGCGGGATGCATCATCGTCCAAGTACTGCTTCAAAAGCTAGATCCTGCGAGCCAGGCAAAATGGGAGGAGCGGTTAGAGGATCCAGCAGTCGTCAATATAATTCCGACGTGGGAATCCATGGCTTCATTTTTTGGAGCAGCGATGCAGAACATTGGAGACAATGGATTTCGCCATGGCAAGCTATGCGTCTGGCAATCAGGTGGGAAATAACCGAACGTCTAATTCTCGCAGATCTGCTTTTGTTGCCACAAATAGTAACCCTTGGTTTTGTTCGTTCTGTAATGCTTCTGGTCACTCCATCCATTATTGTCAAGATTTTAAAGCCCTGCCCCCTGCTAATCGGCTTCAAGAAGTAAAGAGGCTCTCTTTGCATAAACTGCCTTAAGATAGGGCATCAATTGAGGCAGTGCAATTCCAGCAATTGTCGGGCATTCGGAGCTAAACACCACACCCTCCTTCACTTGGGAAATTTATCCTCAGCTTCTCCTCAGGCAGGACCACAGCTTCCAGAAGCTATTGCCGCTGTCGCATCCAATACTGTCGTTGAACCCTCTGCCGTGTCTTCCTCATCCACTGCTCTTATTGCTCAAGATTTCAGTACTGACATTGTGCTCCTAGCCACTGCCACCGTTCTCATTAAAAACCGGTCTGGAGTTTTCGTTCCATGTCGAGCCCTTCTTGACTCCGGCTCTCAGCTGCATCTAATAACATCTCGCTTCGCAGATCAGCTTCAAACAAAGAAGATAAAGACTTCGGCTTCTGTTACTGGAATAGGTGATTCCAGCTTTGTTACAAATTGTCACGCAGTTAATATTACGATGCAGTCCCGAACGTCTGAGTACACGGTGAACATAACCGCAGTTATTGCTCCCAATATAACTGAGCGACAGCCTAGTTTCAATGTGGACATCGGCAGCTGGAAAATACCGCAAAACATACAATTAGCTGACCCGACGTTTTATGTCCCTCAGCGTGTGGATCTTTTGATTGGAGCCAGTTTGTTTTACGAGCTGTTGTGCGTTGGGCAAATTAAGCTCCCACCTGGCTTACCGCTTATACAAAAAACTCGCCTGGGCTGGGTTGTTTCCGGAGGATATGGCGTCTCCAATGGCTCATCGTTAATCTCGACCATGGCCTTGCCTACCATTAATAAGGATAATAGCTTGGATCGACTTGATGATCTTCTTCGTCGATTTTGGGAGGTGGAAAGCTGCGTGGAGCCAATTGCACATGCTACTAAGGAAGAACTGGACTGTGAGGCGCACTTTACAAAGCATTTCATTCGCTCTCCTGCTGGAGATTATTCTGTTCGTTTGCCTGCCAAGCTCAACCTGGAATTATTGGGTGAGTCCTACCAGCAAGCTTATCGTAGATTCCTGTCCCTAGAGAAGAAACTAGATCGTCGGCCAGCCTTGAAGTCCCAATATGCGGCTTTTATAAAGGAATACCTTGACTTGGGGCACATGTCAACAGTTGCTGGCGCAGACCTCGCTTCTTGTCGCTTCTTTTTGCCTCATCATTGCGTCATAAAGGAGGAGAGTTCCACTACAAAGCTACGCGTAGTTTTTGACGGATCTGCCGCGACTTCATCAGGCTACTCTCTTAATGATTTGCTCATGGCAGGCCCCGTAACCTTAAGTCCCTGTAGGCGTTCTGTCTTGTCTGCCATTGCACGATTTTATGATCCTCTTGGATTGGTTGGGCCGGTGATAGCAAAAGCGAAAATTTTCCTTCAGCAATTGTGCAAGGAAAGGTTATCCTGGGATGAAAGTCTTCCTGAGGCTCAGAATACGGAATGGAGTTCAATATGCAGGAGTTTCGAGCAAATCAGGCGTTTGGGTTTCCCTCGGCAAGTGCTTTCTCCAAATTCAGAGATTCAGGTCCATGGATTTTGCGATGCCAGCATGGAAGCATACGGCGCCTGTGTCTACATCGTGTGCAGTGGACAGTCGCGGTTGCTTTGTTCAAAGTCAAGGGTTGCTCCCTTGAAGACACTCACCGTGCCCAAGCTGGAGCTTTGTGGAGCCGATCTCTTATCTAAGCTTATCTCAGAGGTAGCTGGCACCAACGTATTCAAGGGACAGTATTATTGTTGGAGTGACTCTGCGGTTGCGCTGTCCTGGATCCGAGACGAGCCCTCCAGATTCAACATGTTTGTGGCAAACCGAGTTGCTGCCATTCAAGAGCGAACCGATTCGATGGAGTGGCGTTACGTTCCAACTTCTTTGAATCCGGCTGACATTCTCTCCCGAGGTGTCCTTCCCACTGAGCTGAGCGAGTCCCCTGTCTGGTTTAATGGGCCGGCATTTCTTTGCAGACCCAAGTTTGACTGGCCTTCCCCAATCCTTGCTGAGAAGTCAACGCTTGAGCTTCGCCGAAAGGTCCTGTTTATAAAATCGCCATACGTAGATATCGTAGCCTGTTCCAAATTTGCAAATTCCTTCGCGGCGCTTCAAAGAATTTTCGGATACGTCTGCAAATTTATTAATCGCATTCGGCAGCCGGATCTTAAGGTGTCGGATATCCAAAGCGGTACTCAGTTATTGCTTCGGCTGGTTCAGCGTTCTCATTTATGGGAAGACATAAAATCCTTGCAGTCTAAGGAAGTTGTAGCCCCATCTAGTTCGCTTGCGGCTCTATCTCCTTTTATCGATCATTTTGGGCTTCTTAGAGTGGATGGCCGACTAAAAAACTCGTCGCTGGATTTCAATGGCCGTCATCCAATCATATTGCCACGGAGCCATCCTGTCACAGCCGCCGTCATTACTCACTTTCATGAGCGTAATCTGCACACTGGACCTCGGGCCCTACTCGGCATAATTCGATCCCAGTATTGGCCTATTGGGGGGAGGAAGACAGTGAGCAAGGTCTTGAACAAATGCGTCAGATGCTTTCGAACGAAGCGTCGATTAGTCGAGCATGTAATGGCGGATCTCCCAAAGGAGCGATTGGATGGATCGCATGCATTTGAAGTCACTGGCATTGATTTTTGTGGGCCATTCTTTTACAAGCCGGAAGTGCGAAATAAGGCCCCAGTGAAATGCTACGTTTGCGTCTTTATCTGCTTCGCAACAAAGGCCATACACTTGGAGTTGATCAGGGATCTCTCAACAGTATCATTTCTGCATGGCCTCAAGAGATTTATATTGTAACGACCCTGTTCCGGGAGGCGGTGTAGCTCGCCGATGGCCAGGGTTCGGGACAGAATTTCCTATCTAGTTTGGCCCCTCTTCAAGATCGGTTTACCTTCTCCTTTTCCAGAATAACTCGAGGGGATAATGCGGTGCCGAGAGAGCTTTCGTATATTTCTTTACTTAGACTTAACTATAATATGGATGATGGTCGGGTGTTTTGGGGTATTTTCTTGTCGTATATTTGCTTATTCTGAATTAAGTCTACGGGGTATTATTATAGTCGGGATAGATATAGTCTGAATTGATAGTCTGGTTGATATAGCTTGGTATGATCTCTCGGCGTTCTGTCGGGCCGAGGGGTGTTGAGCCGGTGATGTTCGACGCTCCGGCGCTGCTGAAGGGCCGGGGCTACGTTGACGTCCGGCGCTGCTGGAGGACCGGGACTACGTTGGTGTCCGGCGCTACTGAAGGGCCGGGTTGACGTCGATGTCCGGCGCTGCGGAAGGGCCGGGGTTGCGTCGATGTCCGGCGCTGCGGAAGGGCCGGGGTTGCGTCGATGTCCGGCGCTGCGGAAGGGCCGGGGTTGCGTCGATGTCCGGCGCTGCGGAAGGGCCGGGGCGACGTCGGTATTCGTTGCGGCTGAAAAGCCGAGTACTCCGTGCGGCTGAAGAGCCGGCTTAATTTCGACGGCTGAAAAGCCGGGTGTTCCGTGTGGCTGAAAAGCCGGTTGGGTCTACGGCTATAGAGCCGGGTGCTCCGTCGGCTGAAGGTCCGGTTTGGTTCCTACGGCTGGGAGGCTGGATCGGTCGCTGCGGCTGAAGAGCCGGTTGGGAGTGCCGTCGATCGGCTCGGGATTCCGCTGTCGCGTCGTGCTCTGTTCGTCCGTCAGGGGAACGCTCTACTCGGGTGGGGTCATGCAGCAGGAGTCCAATGCTACTCCGCTTCGCTCCCGGGTCGGAAGCCGGGGCGTGACTTCTAGGAGGAACTCTCTGAGCTGGGCTGACTGATAAATCACACCGGACTCAGAGATCTTGACCAGGCCGAAGGTTGATTATTACTAACCAGACCGGGCGTAGGTGATCCTTCCTAGGTCGCGAGCCGAATAAAGATCCGTGCTCTGCGGAAAACCACCACCAGAAATAGAGAACAGAACACTTACCCCTTTGATGTTGCTCGATCAGACGCCTGAGCACAAGTGACTGGAATGGGGACGTGGCACTGCTTATATAGGCCCCAGATGGTACTTAGTGTGCCCAGATAGCTGGTGGGATTATCCCACGATTACCGATAGTCGTCGATCGTTATCGATCGACCAGGGCTACGTAAACAGTTATCGATATCTATCGTTTTCTCAGGGTTGCATATATAGTTATCGATAGCTTGTCTAGGGCTGCGTAAACAGTTATCGGTTGCCCGCGCATTTGAAAATAAGAGCTTATTTATTGTTTTGGTTTATTCTTTTATTTATTTATTTATTTTATTGTGGCGGCGGGCCGTCACACTCCCCCCTCTTTGGAGACCGGGGTCTGGGTTGTGTTGACCCTGATATGACCCGCTCGCCCTATGCGGATCCGGGTGGAGAGATCGCCTGAGACGACCTTGTGGGTCCCTCGGGTTCCGGGACGCCAGGCAGCCTTGAGGTATGCCACCATATCGGCGACCTTTGCCTCGTGCTCCGGGTCTTTCTTTTTGGCTCGTCATCCCAATCACTCTCCGTGTCGTCATCCTTTTGTTGTTTTTTTCTCGTTGTCCCGTTGTATCGCCGAAAGTCGTCTTGGTGTTCTCCATGGGGTCTGAGGTTTTTGCTTGTCGATCAGTTCGTTTCTCTTTGTTCCGGTGGAGGTCGCTGGGGTCGGTCGTGGAGTTGCGATGGGTCGTGCCTGGTTTGGGGTTTCGTTTCCTTGTTTTATGGTGGGTTGTTTTCGTAGTCCTAGTTCCTTGTTCCGCTGTCCTATTCCGTGGTTGTTATGGTTGCTGGTGCGTGGGTCCTGGTTCTGTGCTGTTGTCGTCGTCGTTTGTCTTGGAGGTGCCTGCCTGGCCACTGGTGCTGCTCGGGTTCGGGTTCTGATCTCGGGCCCTATTGTTTCAATGGCCGAGAGCAGTACCACCCGTCTACGGTTGGCATCCAGCTTTTCCAGCGAGGCCCGGTATTTTGCCGCTGAATTCTTGAATTTGTTCTCCATCTGTAATTTTTTGGAGATTTGTTTATGTCGGATCTCGTTTTCCTTTTTATGACTAGCTACGTTTGTGACTATGTTGCTAACTACGGCGTTCCCTTTATATGGTTTAAGTTCGCTAACGTAAGCCCTATGTCTTTTTCCAGTAGTATTATGTTTTAGGTTTGCTATCACTGCGGATATGAAACCTATAACCTTAAATGGTCCTTCGTATTTTGGCGCTAGTTTGGCCGCAAACCCTTCGGCTGCTTTGGATAATGGGTGTTGTCGTTCCCAAACGAGGTCTCCGATCTTGGGTTTCCAGTCTCTTTTTCGTAAGTTGTAGGCTCTTGCCTGGTCACATGCAGCCTTTCCCATGTTTTCTCGCGCTAGCTCCCCTGTCTCTTTTATTCTTTTCCATCGGTCCTCTCTTGTTTCTTCTACTATGCCTGATCCTGATGTGGTTTCGTTAAAGAGACTGCCTGGTAGTCGTAGTTCTCTTCCATATAGAAGATACGCTGGGCTATACCCCGTTGATTCCGATCGGCTGCTGTTTATGGCTAGCATTATTTCTGGTAGCCAATCGTCCCATCTTTTGTGTTCCGCGCCCGTGAGTTGTGCCAACATTGTTTTGATAGTCCTGTTTGCTCTTTCCGCTGGGTTCTCCTGAGGTGTGTATGGTGCTGTCAGTTGGTGTGTTATCCCCCATCTTTCTAGCTGGGATTTAAATTTTCTGCTTGTAAACTGAACCCCATTGTCTGATATTAATTTCTTTGGTGCTCCATATCGGTTCAAGATCTGTTCCCTAAGCGTCTTGATTACGCTTTCTGTGTTTGCCTTTCTTATGGCCGCCAGTTCTACCCACTTAGAAAATTTGTCGAAGAAGACCAGTAACATGTTGTGGCCGTGGCTCGATCTTGGTAATGGGCCTACAAAGTCTACGCATAGTGTCTCCCATGGTGCCTGTGCTATCTCGGTGAGCATCTTTCCTGCAGCCTGTTGCTGCGACGTTTTATACTGTTGGCATAGTTCACAGCATTGTACAAATTGTTTTATATCTCTATGCATGCCTTGCCAATAGTAGTTAGTCATAATTCGCTGTTTCGTCTTTCTTATGCCTAAGTGTCCTGCTACTGTGTCGCAATGGTTTTCTTTGAGGACTCGTTCCCTTTGTTTCTTTGCTACGCATAGTTTCCATGGCTGGGTATCCTCGTCTGTTGCCCATGATGGTAGGTTTCTGTAAAGTCTTCCTTCTATGACTGCGTAGTCTGGCCATGATGCTGGGTCTTTTTCTATTGCTAGTAGTTTTTGTTTTATCCAGTTGTCTTCTTCCATTTCTGCTCCTCGAACTTCTTCCTCTAGCATTCTGGATAGTGCGTCTGCCACTACGTTAAGTTTTCCCTTGCGGTAGCGAATCTCAAATGAGTATGGCTGCATTGCCAATGCCCATCTAGCTATCCGACCTGACGGGCTCTCAATTGAGTTCAACCATTTAAGTGCTTGGTGATCTGTTATGACCACGAAGTGGTATCCTTCTAGGTACATTCTCATTTTTTGATTCCCCAGTGGATTGCCAAGCACTCTTTTTCGGTGGCTGAGTATTTTGCTTCTGTTTTGGTAAGTCTTCTACTAGCGTATGCGATCACTTGTTCGCCGTTTTCGCCTTCCTGTGTTAGGACTGCTCCTAGCCCGTAATCACTGGCGTCGGTCTGTAGTGTGAACGTTTTTGTGAAGTCGGGACAGCTTAGGACTGGTGCCTCTGTTAGCGCACGTTTTAGGGCTTGTGCTGCTTCTTCATGTTCTGTGTTCCATTTGAATTTTTCCCCTTTCTTGACCAGGTCGTATAGAGGTTTTGCTAGCTCGGTGAAATTAGGTACGAACCTTCTGTACCACGAGGCTACTCCCAGGAAGCTGTGTACTTGTTTTGTTGTTTTTGGACTTGGCATTTTTTGGATTGCGGAAATTTTTTCTGGATCTGTGTGTATCCCTCTTGCGCTGACTATATGGCCTAGATATTTTAGTTCTTCCTTAAAAAAGTGGCATTTCTCGGTGTTGATTCGCAGGTTTGCTTTTCTGAGTCGTCTCATTACCTCCTGTAGTTTTTCCATATGTTCCTGTTTTGTTCTCCCTATCACTACGATATCGTCCAGGTATGCGAATGCAAATGGTTCCATCTCCGGTCCGATAACTGAATCTAATGCTCTTTGAAATGTGGCTGGTGCTGTGTGTAGCCCGAATGGCATTACCTTCCATTGGAATAGTCCTCGTCCTGGGACTGTGAAAGCCGTGTACTGTCTGCTGCTTTCTTCCATAGGTATTTGCCAATATCCGCTCTTTAAGTCTAATGTACTTATATATTTTGCTTCTCTGAGTTGATTCAGGATGTGATCCATCCGTGGTACCGGGTATGCGTCTCGTTCTGAGTGTTCGTTAAGTTGTCTGTAGTCGACGCACAATCGCCATTGCTTGTTTTTCTTCTCCACTATTACTACTGGGGAGCTGTATGCTGAGTGTGATGGTTCGATGAGGTCTTGTGCCAGAAGTTCGTCTATTTGTTTGTTGATGATGGACTGCATTGCTGGGTTGCGAGGGTAGTATCTCTGTTTGATGGGCCTATCGTGTTTCATGAAGATTCTGTGTTCTGCTATGTGACTGACTCCCTTGACTTGTTCCATTAAATGTAGTTCCTTCTTGAGAATCTCTTGGATCGTCTCTTCTGTGAGATCGTCCGTTGTTAGGGACCCTATACCCTGTGTACTGTCTTTTGTTGGTTTCTTTTTTTCTTGTTTCTTCTTTTTTGTTCCGATGTGTGCTGTAATACCTCCACATTGAATGGTAGCATTGCATTGTTGTAAGAAGTCG